CGTCATTGTTGTTTGGCGGGTCCAGGCTGGGGATTCGAACCCACCACCTTAGGTGTACGTGGCTGGCGCCTTAGCCAGTTGAGCTATAGGTGCCGAGCCTATCTTACAGTTATTGAGGTAAGAAGTCCTAAAATCCAGGTGTGTCAGCAGGACTGCAGTCTCAAGGCATGAGGGGAGAATCCATTTCTTTGCCTTTTCCTGCTGCTAAAGACCACCTGCATTTCTTGGCTCATGGCACCTTCACATTCAAGAACAATAGTGTAGGGCCAGCACCTGTGGCTCAAAGGAGTAGGCTGCCAGCCCCATATACCAGAGGTGGTAGGTTCAAACCTGGACCCAGCCAAAAATTGCAAAAAAAACCCAAGAACAATAGTGTAGAATTTTCAAATTTCCTTTCCCTGACTTCTTTGTTACACCCCGTTCTCTGCCTCGGACTTTCCTGCCTCCTTCTTTCTGTCTCTCTCTCTCTTTTTGAGATAGAATCTCACTTCCTTGCTCCCAGTAGAGTGCTGTAGCATCAGAGCTCACAGCAACCTCAAACTCTTGGGCTCAATCTTGCCTGAGCCTTCCTAGTAGCTGGGACTACAGGTGCCTACCACAACACCGGCTATTTTTTAGAGACAGAGTCTCACTCTGGCTCAGGCTGGTCTCAAACTCATGAGCTCAAGCAATCCACCTGCCTCAGCTTCACAGAGTGCTGGAATTATAGGCATGAGCTACCACGCCTGCCCCCCACCCTTCTTTCTCTTATGAGGACTTGTGTGATTACATTGTGCCCACTTGGCACGCACTAAATAATCTCTTCACAAGATCTTAGGCTTACTTACATCTGCAAAATCCCTTTTGCAATGTAAGTTGTTTTTCTTTTTGTTTGTTTGAGACAGAGTTTCACTATGTCTCCCTGGGTCGAGTGCTGTGGCATCACAGCTCACGGCAACCTCCAACTCCTAGGCTCAAGCAATTCTCTTGCCTCAGCCTCCCAAGCAGCTGGGACACCAGGTGCCCACCACAATGCCCAGCCATTTTTTGTTGCAGCTGCCATTGTTGTTTTAGCAGGCCCAGGCCAGAGTTGCACCCACCAGCTCTGGTGTATGTGGCTGGTGCCCTACCTGCTGAGCTACAGGGCGCTGAGCCTGCAATTGGAGATCAGGATGTGGACATCTCAAGGGGGCATTATCCTGTCTCCTATAGTCTAGAGATGGAAAATAATTTGTCCAAGGGCACACACACAGCTAATTGAAAAAGAGAACTACGTGTAGGCCCACACCACTGGCAGAAGTGCCCTTTCTCCATCTCTTTGGCATGAAGCCAACGCCCAGCCACTCTCCAATGTTCATTTCAGATTGTCCCCTGCCCAGAAGCCCCTTCTGCCCTCCATAGCCCATGGAGTACATTCTCCCGGCTGTATCTGTGTTCCTTATTGGCAATCAGCATACACCACTAAGTCAGCAATCTTTTTTTTTTTTTTTTTTTTTTTTTGAGACGGAGCCTCAAGCTATTCCCCTGGGTAGAGTGCCATGGCATCACGCTCACAGCAACCTCCATCTCCTGGGCTCAAGCGAGTCTCCCGCCTCAGCCTCCCAAGCAGCTGGGACCACAGGCGCCTGCCACAACGCCCGGCCATTTCCTGGTTGCAGCCATCATTGTTGTCTGGTGGCCCGGGCTGGGGACTCGACCCCGCCACCTTAGGTGTATGTGGCTGGCGCCCCAGCCGCTTGAGCCACAGGCGCCGAGCCTAAGTCAGCAATCTTGAAGATGTTCCCTTGCTTTCTGCCGAGTCTTGACCCTTAAAGGCAAAGATCACGCCTTGGACTCTCCTTTTTCTTTCACACCTAGAGCCCGCTGTACAGAACAGAGGCTCCTTACATGTGTGGTTCATGTTTGCGGCAGATTTTCTAGACTGACTGACTTAGTTCTTGTACCAGTCTGGAAGGCTAAAAACTGCATTTCCCAGACCCCTTTGCAGGTTGGACTATGCTCCACTAAGCCAGACAGTGAAAGAGAGGTAGTGGCCACAGAAAGGTGGTGGCCACAGGTGAGAGAATCTACAGAGGACACAGTGGTGGGTGTGCTGGGTTCTTTGGGGGCAGCTGTGCCAGGGGCCCTGGCATCTTAGCAGCCAAGTGATAGAGGCAGTGGTCCTAACAGAGCAGTAGATGCCTGGCTCCTGGCTGTGTGGTACTTGAGCTTGACACCTCAATGCCCCAGGAATCTGTAAGCACCTTTATGTCCCACATAAGCAAAACCCTAGCTGGAGTGATTTCTATTGTCTGCAACTAAGAATACTATAAAAGTATAATACTCCCCCTCTCCACATGGTAGAGCCCCAAAGGGCAGGAACTACATTTTACAGTTCCCTGTAGACAACTGTAAACAGCTCCCCCTGTAAGTTTGTCAACAAAATATGCACAATTCATTGAACTGGGTTCATGTTCTAATATTCTGATGAAATTTTATCCTTTCTGTGAATCAACAGTCTGAAAGGGCCAGGGCATAGTGGCTCAAATTTGTAATCCCAGCCCTTTGGGAGGCCCAGGTAAGAGGATCACTTGAGGCCAGGAGTTTGAGAGCAGCTTGAGTGGACATGATAGCAATGTGATTGTGCCACTGCACTCCAGCATGGGGTGACAGAACAAGACCATGTTTCTTTAAAAAACAAACAAACATACAAAACAGAAAAGAGCCTGAAATGAAGTGGCAAAATGATATAGTTCTCCCCCTTTGAAACCTGAAAGCAAATCACACCAAATTTTTTCATTTCAATTTAATTACTTGAAAGGGTCAGAGGGCTTTTTATGTCAATTTTTTTTCCTTTGGTAGAGACAAGAGTCTCACTTTGTTGCCCTCGGTAGAGTGCAGTGATGTCACAGCTCACAGCAACCTCCAACTACCTGGCTTAGGTGATTCTCTTGCCTCAGCCTCCTCAGTAGCTGGGACTACAGGCGCCCGCCACAATGCCCGCTATTTTTTGTTGTTGCAGTTTGGCTGATGCTGGGTTTGAACTCACCACCCTTGGTTATGGGGCCGGCACTCTACCCACTGAGCCACAGGCGCTGCCCCGCCAATTTTTATTTTTTGCAACAGTAATATAACATTAAGGGGAATTTTATAATTTATCCAAATTTCACTGGCCTAACAGATTGTGATATTCCCATTTCCTTCCTAGCCCTATTCCTATGCATCTGGATTTGTGCAGGGCTGTCATCTGTATACAATTTTGTATTGCACTTTTCAATGTATCGTTAGAACATAAATAAGCATTTTCCATGTCATTACCTAGTCTTCAATTTGGATGACTTTTTTTTTTTTTTTTGGTAGAGACAGTCTCACTTTGTCGTCCTTGGTAGAGTGCCGTGGCGTCACACAGCTCATGGCATCTTCCAACTCCTGGGCTTAGGCGATTCTTTTGCCTCAGCCTCCCGAGTAGCTGGGACTACAGGCGCCCGCCACAATGTCCGGCTATTTTTTTGTTGTTGTTGTTGCAATTTGGCCGGGGCCGGGTTTGAACCCGCCACCCTCGGTATATGCGGCTGGCGCCCTACCCACTGAGCCATAGGCGCTGCCCTGGATGCCATATTTTTTTCAGCAGTCATGCTATAATTTTTTTCACAGTCCTTGTCCTTGAACTTTTAATTTCTTCCAGCTTGTTTTGGCATTATCGCTTACACTGTAGTCTTCTTCTTTGAACTCATTTCTTTAGTGTCGCTTCCCAGGCGCAGGACTGTCCATCAAGGGGTCCTACTGGCTTTTAGGGTTGTGACACTCCCTGCCAGAGGATGAATGAGGCCACAACGAAGCGCTGGTACAGCCTGTTCTCGTTAGGTTTTGTAATTTTTACAGGTACCTTCTTGTCTCAATTTGCTTTTCACTATTTCCCTGGGACTTGTTTTCTGCCTTTGCTGCTGTTTGTTCACTGTTCTCCAGAGAAGATCCCGCAAAGAGTTACACTTCGGCGGCACGTGACCCGGAAGCTCGGAGGCAGCGCCCAGCTTCGGGTTTGGGCCCCGTCGCTCCCGCCACGCCGCCCCACCGGACTACATTTCCCAGGTGCCCCTGCGCGGCAGGGCGGTCCCGGGACTCAGCCGCCGGTTGGGACGTGCAGTCTGAGGTACACAGAGGAGTGCAATGGCCGTGTGGAGCGAGCGTCTGGCTGGCGTGCGCGGGGTGCTGCTCGATATCTCGGGTGTGCTGTACGACTTCGGACCAGGGGGTGGCACGCCGATCCCCGGCTCCGTGGAGGCGGTGGCGAGGTGAGTGGATCGCCAGCTGGCGCTGTAGGCGCTGGGCTCCAGTCTCTGTCTGGTGCCGGGGGCGGGGCTCCCATTAGGCCCCGCCCCTTCTCCGCCTAAGCCCCGCCCCACGCCCGCGCTGAGTGGCTGTCCCGGCCTGGTGTCAGCCCCCGGTGCTTAGAGACGCGGCCTTTGCCCTACCAGCTTGGGGCCTCCGCCCGGGAGGGCTGACCTGGCCGAAGAGCAGCCTCTTGGTATGGTGTGGCTGGCCCGAATTTACCTGGGCTGTAAGTGTACGCACCGGATTAAAAAGATTTAGTGAGAAAAGCGTAAAATAGCTTATTACAATGATTTTATATGGAAATTATAATACTTGTAATATACTGTATTAAAATATTAAATGGATTCCACCTTTTTTTTTACTCTTGTTAATGAACTTACTAGAAAACTTTAAGTTACATGTGAGGCTTACATTATAATTTTAGGGGACTGCGTTGGTTTAGATAATGGGGGACCAGGTCTGGCCCAGAAGCCTTGCCCATGGAAGACACTTCCAGGACCATCACTGGACCTGGACTTTGTAAGGCCTCACTTGGGCATCGCTGGTCAGCACTGCATGATGTTGATAGGCAGTTGGGAAGGGCTAATTGCCCAGGGCTTGGCCTCCTGGAGTCACTAGCTGGCACACTCTGGCTTGGTGGCCTGACCTTACTGGCACTTAGTTTACCTACTTGTAGATGGCAGTTAAGTGAGCCTCTTGTAGCCTCTTAAAGACTCCACCCTACCAGTCTGTTGTCTGTATGTGTGGGAACTGTCCTGCGTAGCAAAGCAGGACGTGTTTGGTGGACTGAAAACTGGGAAAAGGTAGACCTGCCTCCAGGAGCACACATGGCCCAGACCTGGGAGACCCTTGGCCCTGTGGTCGGCCTCAGTGTTAAGTCTCATTGTTGTTTTTGTTCCTTTTTTCTTTTTTTGAGACGGAGCCTCAAGCTATCCCCCTGGGTAGAGTGCCATGGCCTCACAGCTCACAGCAACCTCCAACTCCTGGGCTCAAGCGATCTCCTGCCTCTGCCTCCCAAGTAGCTGGGACTACAGGCGCCTGCCACAGCGCCAGGCATTTTTTGGTTGCAGCCATCATTGTTGTTTGGCGGGCCCGGGCTGGGGATTCGAACCCGCCACCTTAGGTGTATGTGGCTGGCGCCTTAGCCGATTGAGCCACATGCGGCGAGCCTCTTTTTTTTTTTTTTTTTTTTTTTTTTGAGACAGAGTCTCACTATGTTGCCCTTGATAGAGTGCTGTGGCTTCACAGCTCACAGCAACCTCAAACTCTTGGGCTTAAGCTATTCTCTTGCCTCAGCCTCCCAAGTAGCTGGGACTACAGGCGCCCACCACAACGCTCTGCTATTTTTTTTGTTGTTGTTGTTGTAGTTGTCGTTGTTTAGCAGGCACTGGTGTGTGTGGATGGTGCCCTAACCACTGACCTACAGGTGTGAAGCCTGTTTTTGTTTCTTGTTTGGTTTTAGAGACAAAGTCTCCCTCTGTCACCTGGGCTAGAGTGCTGTGGCATCAGTCTAGCTCACAGTACCCTCACACTCCTGGGTTCAAGCAATTTTCCTGCCTCAGCCTCCTGAGTAGCTGAGACTATGGGCATCTGCCACTACTCCTGACTAATTTTTCTGTTTTTAGTGGAGATGGGGTCTCACTCTTGCTCAGGCTGGTCTTGAACTCCTGCACTCAAGAGATAGTCCCACCTCAGCCTTCCAGAGTGCTAAGATTACAAGTGTGAGTAACTACGTCTGGCCTTTTTTTTTTTTTTTTTTGAGACTGAGTCTCACTCTCTTGGCTTGAGTGCCATAGTGTCAGCCAAACTCACAGCAACCTCAAACTCCTAGGTTCATGCCATCCTCCTGCTTCAGCCTCCTAAGTAGCTGGGACTATAGGCATCCACCCCAATGCCTAGTTAATTTTTCTATTTTTTTAATAGAGACAGAATCTTGTACTTAATTAGGCTGGTCTCAAACTCTTGAGCTCAAGTAATTCTTCAGCCTTGGCCTCCCAGAGTGCTAGGATTATAGGCGTGAGCCCATTGCCCAGCCAAGTTCTGGGTTTGTGAGTGGCTTCCTGGCCTCTACCTTATTCTCCATTAACCCCAAACCTTTAGACTAGCTCCATTACAGATGACAGCATTATGTGGTGGCACCTGTGCGAATGGAGCAGAGGGCACTAGGCTGTTTTGGGAGCCTCATTTGGGGGGCACAGGAGGCCAGCACCTCCGGCTGTGACTGAGGCACAGGGCCTCACGTCTGGAAGGGAGATGGAGGGTAAACCTGCACACAGATGAGTAAACCAAGTCATCACAGGTTGGCATAAGTGATATGAAGGCAGAAGGGTGCTGAGAGAGTGTGACAGGGCGAGGGGGCCTGTGCTGGAGATGGGGTCTGTACAGTTCTGAGGAGAAGGCATTGTGCCAAACCAGAGGGCTAGGAAAGTGCCATATGGGCAGAGGAAATGCATTTCTGGCTGAAGGAACAGCGGCCACCAGGGTCTGTGAAGAGGGAACTCCTGGCATATGCAAGGAGCTGAAGGGCCCTGGGTCCCCAGGAAGAAGTAGAGAAGAGTGGATGCACCAGGCAGGGACTTGAGGGCTGTGGAGAGGTGTCCGGACTTTACCCTGAGTGGTAAGAAGTCAGGGAAGACTTTAGGTAGGCATGTCACGTGATCCAGTTTATGTTTTAAAGAAATTTAAATGTAAAAAGTGAAAACATGTGAGTACAAGTGAAAACAAAGGTGAGTTCCTTTGACGTCTTGGATTGAGAGAAGGTCTTTAAGCCTTTGCCTCAAAATTTAGAATCAGCAACAGCAAATCAGCAGCCCAATAGGAATATGGACAAAGGACATGAAGGGAATGATGAGCAACCTGAGAGATGCTCGGCCTTACTCAAATACGAGAAATGCAAATTAAAATGATACCGAGATACCATTTTTCATCAATTTGAGAAAATTGGCAAAAATCCAAAACTTTGAGGCCACGTTCTCTTGGTGAGTCTGGAAACAGACCCAACTCTATGTTGCTTGTTGAAGGTACATTTGACATCATCTAACAGCAGTTCCACTTCTGGGAATTTGTTCTAAATTGTACATGAGAAATGACATAAGGGCACAGTCATTCACAGCAGTGCTTTTTGCAATAGCAAAAGACTGGAAACAGGTCAGGTCCCCATCACTGGGGAGTAGGGAGGCCAGCTGTCTATACATGGGAGTCCCAGCAGTGTGAGAAGGCGTGTGCGCCCCTCTCTGCAGTCCACTGCTAGGGGAGACAGCAGGTACACACAGGGTGCATGGGGTGGAAAAGGCAGAAATCCAAGTGAGTATTTTCACTGTGGTGTCTGCATAAAGATGCTGGAAGGACTCAGACTACATCAGAGCTGTAGGAAGAGCTGGGTTTTTAATTTATATTTATTTAGTTAGTTAGTTAGTTATTTTGTTACCCCTCCCAGCCCTTGGTAGAGCTGGGTTTTTTTGGGGAGGGGAGGGACAAAGGGCAGGGGAACTGGGAGGAGGATGGGCAAGACTCTTTACTGGATAACTTTGTCTATCAAAGTTTATTTTTAAGGTTTTTAGACCATGAGAATGCATTTCCCGCTCAAAATGTTGAATTAAATCATTTCAGAAGATCTCTCAGACTACAGTGTGGAGAATGGGCTGGGGGTGGTGTGAGTGGAGGCAGGAGGCAAGGGAGGGCAGGGCCACCAGTTAGGAGACTGCTGCAATGTCCAGAGAGGTGGCAGTGGAGGTGGGGAGCAGGGCACGAATTAAAGAGGGGTTTTGGAAGCAGGACCAGTGGGACCTGCTGAGAGGTGTGGGGCCCATAAGTCCCAATGTAGGGAGGACACGAAGTAAAGGGTGGCTTCCACTGTCTGACTTGAGCACCTGGCAGGGTGGAGAGGGGCCAGGGAGGGGGTCGTGGGGCAGGTGTCATGACACCTCATGATGTGTGTCAAGCTCCCGGCACACAGTAGCCCTACAGCAATGCAGCAGCATTTCCTGTGTTACTGACACGGGGAGTCCTATTGTACATGCCTTTCATTCTTTTACAATCAGCGCCACTTAAAAACACCTTTTTGTCAAGGTAAATCATACACATACTGTGTGTGTAAAAGCCGGTGACTTTTTACTGATCCCAGCTGGGTAACCTGAGTTCCAGAGCCCCTCCATAATCCTTGGCAGTTACCGTCCACCTCATCACTCTCCTGGATAACCACTATCCTGAATTCTAGAACCAGATTTAGTTTTGCCTGCTAGTGACTTGACATAAATGAAAACATATGGTACATTCCCTCTTATGTCTTATTTCTTTTACTCAACGTTACATTTGAGAGATTTTTTGTATCTATGGCATGTGGTTGTAGATTATGCATTCTCATTGTTGTGTAGTGTTCCAGTGAGTGAGTATCACATTCTCTTATTGATGAAGTAGACTTTCCCATTTGAGGTTGGTGTGAATAGTGCTGCTAGGAATATTCTTGTACATGTCTTTTGGTGAGCACATGGGTATGTGTCTATTGGACACACAGTGAATAGTTTTCCAAAGTGGTTGTTCCAGTTTCCATTTCAAGTTGAGATATATGAGAGCCCAGTTGCTCCAGGTTCCCACCAGAACTTGGGTCTGTCAGTCCTTTTCATGTTAGCAGGAATGTTTTTGTCTTTTAAAACCCTGAAAAGTAAACTAGGATCAAGGAAACAGATGGGGCCTCAGTCCTTCCCTGACTACTTCTGCTAAAGAAGCACGGAACGGATTCTGGCATCTTCTGCCAGATCCCTAGGAGAGTTTTGTGTTGATTTGCTTTTTTTAGCAGTGGCCTTGGAAAGGGTGGCTGCCCATTTTCCAGAGAGCAGCATGGGACTGGAGTACACAGTACACACCTCCCGGGCAGGTGAAGGCTGCAGGTGTCCAGAGCCAAGGCAGCTGCTCTCAGGGGTCATGTGCCCTCTGCCAGACATCGGTGTGGTCCTCTTGCAGT